TATACTCAAAAAGTAGAAAGCTTAAGATTTGATAATTAACAGAAAATCAATTACAATCTGTTTTTTTTAACAAACTAAATAAAATCTAAAAAAGATAATTTCAAAGCATATATTACTTGGTTTTTTAAATTTCTACACTTTTACCAATCTTTCTAAGTATTAAAGAGACTGAAAATTCTTTGAAAATAAGAGAAAGAAGTATACAAATATTTTACTAAACAAATTTCTCAAAGCTTTAGAGTATAAAATTTTCAAAAATAGTCATTAGTATTCAATATCTTGAGATCTTTTATAAAATATGAATTAGAAAAGGCAAATGAAGTAATAAAAGTATCTTGCAAGAATATCATACCAACTTTCTTGAATCTTGGAATACTTTTGGATCAAATAAAAATATATTAGCAAATGCAATTTGCAAACACATCATAGGCTCTTTAAGTATAAATTCAGATTTGAAACAAACTAGCACTTCAGTACTATTATAATAATTTTTAAAACTTAATTAAAAAAAGAAAATATATTAGCTATATATTTTGTAAAATCCTTTGTGCTAAATTTTTTGTACCTTAATTTGAATAATCTTGGATTAAAAAATAATATATATACTTCACATTTTTTTTTTTTATTTTTTTTTGTATTTTATTTTTTGTTTGATACTCTAATATTTTATTTTTTTTATTAGATTAAAAAGTTTGCAATAATAAAATAATCAGTGTCATTTTAAAAATATGATAAAAGATACTTCTATATTTAATTTATATCAACTTATAAGTTTATCTTTACATATATTCAATATTTTAAAATAATCTTTATCTAATTCTTGCCTTTTTTTGTATTTTTCACGTACTAAATTAAAAAAATTACTAAATCTTTAAAAAAATAGATAGGTTTATATCAAATGAAACATTCTCATAACCAGACTGCTTTTTTTCTTTTTTTTTTTTGTTAAAGCAACCTCTATAGCTGAGGGTTTTTATTAGATAATTAACAATGTTTACAATTATGATGAGGATATAACTAGCCACATATACAACTTTTGGTTATCTATTTTAAGTAGTCTGCTTGGGTTC